TCTGTTCTTCTTTTTGTCTTCTTGTTTCCAGCCCTACTTTTGAAAGGTTTTTTGTTCCTCTAAAAAATAGTAAACTTGTATTAATGTCTCCCTCAGACTGGGAGAAACTAAGCAAAACACGCTAAAGTTGTTACTTATGAAGTCAAGCTAACATTTACATTATAAAAGACAGATACTGTAGATTTACCTTTATAAATATAATTTTTCCAAAACTTTTAAAGAGGGCAACCTAAAGTGAAGGCTTAATGTTTATAATGCAGAAAAGCTTTCAAATAAAAATCCTGTTTTGTTAACATCATAATATTAAACTAGTACTTGGAATATTATTGTCCTGTTGACACAAGTGCAGTTTTGGAGAGAATGTTTTAGCAATTAAATCCCTACTTGAAAAATTAAGGAGATACATTAAGACACAAAAAAAAAAATACTATATGTCCCTTCCCTGAAACATCTGGTAGAAAGTACAGTCTCAAAGGAGATCCATGCACAAGAAGTTCAAAGGACTGGCTATACTTCTGACAACTCAGCCACTGAAATCAAGCCCCCAACATCTCAATCTGATATTACAATCTTGATCAGATACATAATATTAAAAAAGATTATTGCTCTTCTAAAATTGTACTATACCCATCTATACACACACATATATATGTATATGCGCATATTTGGAATCGCAGTCCTTAATGCAGACACAGAAGTTTCAGGTCTCCAAACAGAACAGAACAAAACAAAAAAAGTAAATACTTTCCTCTGCTTACCTCTTTTTGGGTGGGTAGAAGGGAGTCCAGGTAAGACTGAGTTGCTGTTGTACCAAGTACTGTAAAAATACAGACTAAAATGTCACTCATACTTTAAAAAACAGATAGGGAACATATGTATCAAAAAAGTGCTTGCAAAAATAGCAAAACTCTAGTAAAACTAGTAAAAAACCCACCATGTTAGTGTATTATAAATTTTGGACTATTGACCTATGTTAGGCCAGAAAAGTCAAGAAATGAAAGTCCTAAAGACAATTTTAAATCACAGAATATTTTTTTCCTTTCCACAGCTAGAACTGACCACAAAATACAACAACTAGGTGACTAGTTATTCTGTGTATATATGTATATATGCACTGCTATATCTAATTTTTGCAGAAAACAGAAGTACATATACTGCTCCCTCCTATAATGCAGTCTTAAATTACCAAATAGAAAAAAAAAAAACCAACAATGAAAAAGGTGAAGTGGAGCTCCTGTAGTGCTGCTCATAAAAAAATTCCTACTGCCGCGTGCAATTTAAATTCTATCCTGGTTTGGAATGGTACCTCTGAAAAAAAAAAAACAGAAAAAACCAAAAAACCAAACAACCCCAAAAAACCCCAAACCAAAAAAACCCAGACAACCTGGTAATGAGCAGATAAATGATATTTCACGTATGCAGATTCCAACCTGACAAGTTTTTAAGAAAAACCTGACAAGTTTGTCAGAAGAAGTTTTACTTACAAATGACAGAATACATTTGTATATAAAACTAGGAACTGAAGAACTCAAGTATTCTAAACAGTTGTGCTAAATACCTTGTTTTCTAGAACAGTCCCTTAAATTCTGTTTCCATTTCATACCTGGGTGTCAACACAACACAGCTGCTATCTCTGTAATCTCCCATTCTCTTTCCATATTTGAACAATTTTTTCATTGACCTGCATCCTATTTTTCCTCAACTCCTCCAGTTTGTCAAGAGCATTTGTTGCCTTTTCCATATTGGTTCAATCTGCAAAAGTAGCAAGAATACTTTGTACTCCATTACTGAATTATGTAAATAGTTATCAGCAGACACAGGCAGATCTTGGTGCAAGGCCATTTGATACAGTCTTCCAGTTTCACAGTGGCATGAATAACCTTTCCCAGTACAGCTTTTTCAGCAACTTATGTTCACAACATAGCAAGTTATTTTAAGTCGTGTATCCTCACAGGATATTCTCACAGGTGTCACCAAGAGCCTTTCAGAAGCCAAGATGTGACTCAAAGGCATGATTATAAGCCAAGAAAAGAGAAACCTTAAGTTAATACTTCAGACAAATTCTTGCTGGTTCTTGTTTATTCACTTGTGTTTCAGATGACTTGAAACTACTGAAAGGATTTCTTCTTCTTGCTTTTCTTCAGAAACTCAATCAGATGATGCTAAATTGATCAAAGACAGTCTCCCTCCCCTCATTAGAAATAAAACCCCCAAAACAATATCTGTCCATTCACTTACCCAACTCTACAGATATATTAGTTTTTATATGTATTGATATTATTTATTTACCATAACAAAAGAACAAGTTAAAAAAAAAAATAAAAAAATAGGATTTTCTTTCTTTTTGGCAGCCATGGCATCTTCCTTAATCTTCCTCCTCTTACAAGTATAGCACTTAAAGAAAATACTAAGCATCTCCTTAAATACTGTTAATAGCTGCATCTAACTAGGCTTGATCTTATTGCTCAACTTTCCACTGTTATGTGCACTCTTCTCAAGACTGAGATTATCAAAGAGTTCATTATTAAGCTGGTTGCTATTACGCAACTTCTATTTCATTCTGTTTGAAGATTCTACAGATGATCAACACAATTCATTCAACAAGCTGCAAAGATTTAATACCTTCCTACCATTGATGTTTCCCATCCCTACTTAACATTGGCACTCCTAGACAACAGTAAGTCTTTTCCTTGTCTTTATTCTGCTGCTTTCTTCCCTTCATAGAAGTTCATTATATTTATGTCATACCCACTTTCCTCCCATATCACAATACATGCAACTTTAAAGTTATTTTTAAACCTCCACAATCTGCATAAACCAATTAGATCCTTTCCAAAGCAGAATATAAAATTTTATTCTGAAATAGATCTTACCATACTAAAGTGTAATCTTTTGTGACCTTAGATGCTTTAAGGGTGGGATGCTCAATAATCTCACCTTCCTACCCTGGAGTAGAAATTTTATAAAGTGTACATCTCTGTTCCTAAAAAGCACATGTCTTGTGCAGAGAAGTTGCCTCTTTCTGGCCTCAGATAACCACAGTCAGAAAATAGGCATGATTGGCGATTGCAATGGAAGACTAACTGGAGGGTGTTTAACACTTATGCATCCAGTAGGACAAACAAATATAAATAAAATACTTAATCAAAGAAAGGCTATTTATGAAGTCATAGCTCTACATGACCTAGGGAAGTCTGGTTGTGGATGTTTACAAGAATACTGTATTTCATATAAAAGGCCAAGGTCTGACTTGGACTGATAAAATCAGTCTGGACTGATCAATCCTTTGTAAAAGAGGAAACAGCAACAAGAAAAAAAAAATCAACATGCAAGTTTTTACACAAGAAATTATGTACAGATAATATTAGAAACTTCTTAGGTAAACATATAAATGAAAAAAAATGGGGTTACTAGATAACATGCGATTTAAAATCAATAATAAACAAAATGCTGAGAAAATGTGTTTATGTTAAGCAGCTCACAAATCTATTACAAAATAATTTCATCATAAATTTTAAAGTTTATGAAATACAAAATGATCTATATGAAACATTTTGGCTAAACAAAAGGAGATTAATATCAGAATAAGCAAATTCTCCATGAAGAAAATCATACATATTTCATTGAGAATTATTATTATCTTCTACAAATGAAGAACTGACTTGCTAGAAGCTGAGCACAGTGTGGTAGCCTATTTGGCTTTAACCTGAAGGTGAAATATTTAATTTTCAAGTGACAGAACATAAAAAACACTGAGAAAGGTTCACTGAGTAGATGATTAAAAAAATAAATGAAGTTAATCGAGCATGAAAATATACATAAAGTGTCTTGTTTTTAAGCAGTATTCCATTTCTCATAACTCTACAGAGAAAACTAGTCTTCCTCAGAAGTAGTCACAATATGTGGAAAACCGATATCCTTATGGTCCCAAGGGTGAAAAAGGACTAACAGAATCCATAAATCAGTGGTCAATATATAAAGTCTTATCCTAGAAATATTGTAAACATTTTTCTTAATTGGGATCTCATCATCTTTGGTATAACAGACTCCTAGGGAATCTGTGATGACACATTTTTTAACCAACTTATATGAGAGGAAAAAGAAACTGTTTAAACATTTTGCATCACTTAAAAATGCAGTATACGTATATGAATCACAGTTTAGAATCGATTTTTAAATAAATCTTCCTGCCTATAAATGTCAAGTCTTAATTGTTCTGGCCAAAGATCCACTTCTGGAAGGGGTCTGATGGATTACAGGATGCCAAACTTGGATGCTCTCCATTCCCTGTAAGGCACATACGTAGCGCTGCATTGAACAGAGTTTGATCCTAAAGTGAGTAAAAGAGGAAGAAAGAAAAAATAAATAAAGTGAACAAACATCAAGCATGCTATTTTACACACACACTTCATTTTTTCCCCCTAAGTTCATTGTTAAAGAGTAAGACATACAGATGGGGGATATTCATCTCTGCAGACATACAGAGAGGGGCTAGCAAGCAAATATGAGTAATGTGCAAGTGACAGGTTCTTTTGTTAGGAATATTTTAAAAAATTATTCTAAAAGACACTATAGGATATCAACCAGTTTTCTAAGTGACATTTCTACTTTACATTTAAAATAGCGATATCATCAAGTTTTGATCTGGTTAACTGAAAGGCTGGAATTACCTACGATTTCCTCCCAGAAATAATTTTTTTCCTTTTCATCTTCAGAGTTTTGTATTGTTGGGATTCTCTTTTTTATTGGAAATCAAAAATTAACTTATATAAAAAGATCACTGATAAAAATGGAGAGTCTAAATACCTTTTGATGCAGCCATTGCTCTTCTCCAACAGCAAAGGTTTTCTGGCCTTTGTAGTTACATTCACGAAGCTGCACAGGTCCTTTAGAAGCATACAGGCAAAGCTCCTTCTGAATGTTATGTCGAATTTCATGGTGTGCAGAATATTCAAAGTACTATATAAATAATAAAAAAAGTAAATAAACACTAACAATATTAAACTAAATTAATCCTTTGAATTGAAATGCACAAAATAATGCATTTTTTTGTTAATCAACAACTTGAGACTACAGAATACTTGCTCTTATTTCTAGCATATAAACTTTAAAAGTGTTTACAAAAGTACTAATGCAGTAGAAAATATTTAGAAGTACTTAAATGTATAAATTGCAAATAAGCATTATGATGCAAGATCTCGTTTGCTCTCCCAGGAATCATATATAATTCAAGGAGATAAACTGAAGAGTAGAGATAGTTGCATGGATAACTTAAATATTGGCATTTCTTAACTTTAAAAAACTTTATTCTATTTTTGTTGCTGGATTTTGTTTTTTCTTAGAGCAAACAAAAAAGAAAATTGTCACATAGAACAACACTGATTCCTGCACATCAAATTTTGCGGCTTGATCTAAACCATAAATGCTAATAATAGGATGCTATTCTGTTCTCTTGTGAGCTAGCCATTAGAAAAGCACAGAAAGTAAGGTTTAAAACCTCATTAATTTTTGATATAGAGATGAACATGTTCCCAACCCCAGAATACTCCTACAAGGAAGAATGATAAACAATTCATGTACAACTCTCAAAACGAGGTTCTCTAGGTTCTAATCGATTCTCCTGGAAGGGAAATTTTCAGCCTACACTGCTGAAATCTGGTAAAGCACGTAAACCAACTAGAAACAGAGTACTGTGATGAGAAAGGTTAAGTAAGCAAATACGCACATCTCTTGAACACTGTCAGCAAAACCTACATTAAAATGCTCTGAAGGTTGGCATTTAAAGGGATTTAGACTCATTTTATGGCAGAAGGAAAAACAAACATAATTTTAGTACATTCCCAAGATAACTTAAGGAGAGCTGACAATAGAGGCGTATGGTAGACCTCTTAATATAATGTCTTTGCTCCTGCATTAATGACTGTGACAATGTGAAAAGGCTAATATTGTACTAATTCACATCAGAATGAAGGGAAAAAGAAAAAGTTCAGTATTGTAAGAAGCTAACATAACAAGTTATGTTGGAATTCTGTCTAGTTAACCTAAACAGTATTCCATCTCCCACAAAATCTGTGTAAGAAAGTATCAACCAGGTGTCTGAGTTTTCACAGTACCATCAATGGAGGGCATTAAAATTGAAGATTTTACTAAGAAAAAAAAATACAACTATGTTCTAATAAAACTTTTTATATATTTTTGACCTTTAGTTATTAAGAATTTACAGTTAATAAATTTTATTCACCAAATAACTCCTTAAGGCAACACAGAAGCGTTCATTTCTGGGCAGTAAGGAAGATGAGGTGTTACTTTTACTACTATTACAGTAGTGACTGAAAGATTCAGTATCTGACGTCTATTGCAAGCCATACTGTAGGAGAAACAGAGCACCATTGCTGCCTCCAAGAGCTATGCATCAAGGAGAGCTCTTCTTGGAGATATTCAATATTATGCACTTGCACTAGCCAGTACAGGACAGGCCACTTTGACCTCCGACTATGAGGCTGCAAGCGTGACAGGGAAGATGGCTCAGGCCTGGCCACTTGATCTCCCATTGGCCGGATTCCCATCAACATCTTCCTTGACAGCGTGAGTCCTGGTAGCAGAGAAAGAAGCAATAGGAGGAAGCATAAGGAGAGGAAGAATTAAGGAGACAACACAAAGTAGTAAGGGTAGGAGGAAAGGTTTTGCACTGAAAGGAGATAGCAAGTGAAGCAGTGCAATTGTGTTAAAAACCGGAATTGATATGATGAACATAGAAGACTAGAAGCAGGACACAACATGAAGAGCATAATGAAAGTTTTCTTAAACAATAGGAATTAAAAAAAAAAGAAAAGGAAAAAGAGGGAGAAATTGCATATTAAAAATTAGTCCATTGCTCTAAAATAAATTAAAAGCTTTAATATGGGAAAGTTACAGCTAAACAGATCATAAAAATCAGGTATCAAATATTTTACCTGATTTCCTCCAAGTCCATGACAAGAATACATAATCAATGGTTTGCCACCATGGTTGTTTTCACCAACATCCAGACACATGCGGTTACCTAGGTTTTTTAGCTAAAGAAAGGGTGTAATCAGAAAAATAAAAAGAAAGAAGTTCGCTCAGGGGGGATGACAAAAAATTAAACTGTCTCATGGATACAAAATTAACCTTTGGGTTAACAACAGTTACAGCTGTTCATTTTTACTTTCTGCTGTGCTGAAGTCTAAAAATCCTGGTCTCTTCATTAATCTTTTCTAACTAAAACCCTGATAACTCCATTATGGTTGTCTACAGCCACACATGGGGAATTACTGGGCTACTGGTGTACAAGTTTATTGTTACTCAAATCACAATTTGAACAGATATACAGAAAATATTCAAAATTGGAGGAAGGGGAAGTTTTATTTGTAAATGTATGCTAAACATTTGAATTCACCTCAAACTAAGAATTATTAGTTGTTTAACAATTTTTGGTTTTAGGAATGCAATATCTAAAGTTATTTGGAGAGGAAACGCAATGGACTTAAAAAAAACCCCATACATATAATGTATAAACATACATTTTCCTCAGCATAAGCTTAACTCTGACAAGCAAACAGCTGTCCAATTTTCCTTATTAACATGAAGTAAAAATTCTCTCAGACTTTCTGCTATATAAAGCTAAATTTACCTTGATAACTCAGGAAATCTCTCATCACTGGCTTACTACTTTTGCGTCATTTTAACTGTTAGTGATAAGCAGAATGTTGTTTATCTTAGCAGGCTGTAAGACACTGTTAAAAAAGTCTACTGCTAGCTATTAAGAAGCTTTGCTTACATTAACAAAGCTATAAAATATACAAATAGCAAGGTATGGAGGAGAGATTCTTGTCCAGAGTAGTGACAGAAAACTCTAGAGCAACTAATGACCGATAAAATGCAAGTGCTATGGCTAAGGTAACACAAAAGATTAGCAAACTTCCTGAATTATAGATGACTATAGAAAATAATTAATATTCAACTTACATATCCAGAAAATAAAGGGTTCAGGTCTGGCACATATGCTTCTGGATAAATATTACTGAGATACCAGGTAAAATTTTTACACTGCAGACGTTGCCTTAACTCGAGTCTTTTTGAGATGTCTCCAAATGTTTTCTGTTAGAGGAAGGGAAGTAAGGATGGAAGGAAGAGAAACATACCAATGTTACTAATACCAGGTTTCTACATATGAATCTATGATAGTCTGTATTGTAACATTAAACTAGCTTTAAGCTCCATTTGCTGATTTTTAATTTTTCTTTAATACTGTACTACTACAGTTACTGCCGTTTATTTTTCAGTGTCATAACATCACCGACATCCTGCCTGCAGCATTTCAAAGCATGTGCAAGAAAAGTACATTGCAACATGGAAACTACAGACGTATCCTTAGTCCCAAGAGAGTTTTAACACAGTGCCATGAAATGGAAAAGTACAGACAAGACCATACTGATGACAGTTTTAAAGCTATCTGATCTCACCAAAAAGAGTGATCTGAAATAATGAATTGGAATAACTAAATAATTAGCATAATACTGCATGCAAAATTTCCCAGACAGAACTCAGTTGTCTAGCTGTTAACATGCTCAGGAAATCTAATTCTATTAGTGATACAATAGTCACAAAATTTATCATACAAAGGGAGGACAAATATCTCCTTGAAGAAAACTCTAAAATCCAGCAGTGAAAGACCAAAGTTTCAGAAAACTTACAAAAATAAATCAACACCCAAATCCCCCGAATTGAATATTTTTTAAGCAGATAGCAAAAGGGTGGATAGCTATCACTGAATAATCTTTATTCTGCATCTAAAGAGCAACACAACTCAAAAAACAAAAAAAGAGTTTGGACTTTGTATGCTCAGTAGCTTTTCTCATGCTCATTCCAGTAATGCTCAGTGCAAACAGCCCAGGATTTTAGAGCATGTATGAGAAAAACCCTACCAATCAAAAACCCCACCATGCAAAACAAAACTATTACCACCCAAACAGTGAAGACATTTGATATTTGTTGGGACTACACATTAAGCAAACTGAACTGTCTTTTCATTAAAATTTCTAGAATCCTTACATACTTTGTCAATAAATAACTTTTGCTCACCAAAACTTTCAACGCAGCAAGTGTGATTTCTAATACCACCACCACCACCTACTTGTTTCACAATTTTTGCTGCCTCTGTGTTTCTTCGATAAAATATTTCTTTATATTCATCCATCCACACTTCTGCAAGGCGGACTTGATTACGTGTGATCACTTGGGTACCTTTTGGGAAAGTATGGGGACTCTTGCTGCGAAAGACATGGCCAACAACAGAGCAAGGCATGATCTCCAACTGTCCACCACATTGCCATACCTAATAATAACATTTTTTGTGTAAGTGCACTGCAATTAGAGTTAAGGGAGTGGAAAAAAAGATAAATCAGCAATGTTACCATTTGCCAGAAAAAAATCCCAGACCACTAGCAAAAGTGCATATATCAGGCATACCATAAGCAATTTTTCTAATCAGGTAAACCCTGGAAATATACATTTCCGTTATTAACCCTAAAAACATTAAAAAAAAAACAAAAACAAAAACAGTCCAGTGATCATGTTTGTATTTTATATCAGGTCATTAGTAATTCATTTCCCTTGTCCTAGTTGGCCAATTCATCAGACAAGTCAAAATCTAAGAATAATTTGTCCTCAAAAATTCTGTCAGTGTAGAGGTCACTGCTAATTAAGTAGCTAAACTTACTCTGAAAGACATTTCTATATTTTCACCTCCCCATATTTCCATTTCTTCATCATAGCTTCCAATGTGCTTGAAGTAGGCTTTTGATATTGAAAAGAGACCTCCAGCAAAAGTAGGTGTTCTGCAAAAAACAGAAATTTACTGAGGAAGACAGGATTCAAATAGATAGCCCACATTAGGTCTCATTTGACAGTTTTATTGTCATTTATTAACAGCTGATTTAGAGTAACTTCTGCTATAAAAGACAGCATCAGGAAAAACATATTTTCCCTGTACGGACAATATCAAGCAAAGTTATTACTCCTCCAGACCAGTAATCTGTCTGTAGCCAAAGCACATACAATTATCATCAAACACACTGCTGTAAAAGTCTAGTATTTTGATGTTCTGAACCTCTGTTGTCATCCTTTCAAATATGATGAATGAGAAGCCAGAATCTGTGGTATAAACAACCATGAAAATTGAAGTATTTAAAATATTATTCAAATTATGTTTACCTAATTGGATAGGTTTTATCTTTTCTTCTTTTATTTTCATGTTTAGGAAGAGATTCCCATCCAAATGACAAACTCCAATCAAAATTTCCTCTGTTGTGGCTATGCCCATAAGGAGATGGTTTACTGAATTCAAAAGTGTTGAGATCTATAGAAGCAATATCAGGGCTTACAACAGCTACCGGGTTCTCAGCTATTCTTGCCAGTAATGGCTCCAACCAACCATAAAAGCATTCACCTATGGAGAAAATGGTGACAAGCACTGAATTTTTACTTTACTATAAAGTAGCACACAGAGAATATTTTAACATGCCCACAGCAAGCCAATATGCACTGCTTTTAAATAGCATTATTAAGTATACTTTCAATAATGCAAGATAGCAATAGTAAAGATGATGCTTTGTTAATGTTAATAATTTATAAAAAATCTGTAACGTTAAATCAAAGACAATAGCATTATAAACCAGACCTGGCATAGTTACAGATCTACTCACAGTGAGCATCCAGAAAGGTAAGGGTCTCTCCTGTTGCTACTGAAGCTCCCAACAACCGTGCAGTGATAAGACCTTTTCTTTCCTTTTGACGGACTACTTTAACTATTTGAAATTGTTTCACATATTCATCTAGCTTATCATGCAAGTACTCTAGAAAGAGAAATTGGTTTAAGGATATTCAGTGTATATACATGACACTGCCTAAAATTTTACATTACTAAACTATCAGGATAAACAATTCACACTAATCCTGGGAGTGACCTCACATTAGAGCACTAAAAAATACAAAAAAAATAAAAATAAATCCTGACTGTTGAATGCTATTTTTAGGGACTGAGTTTTGCTGGGGGTGAATGCATAGGAAGACGACTGGCCAAGAGCAGAACATGGAACACTAAAAACATTCTAAATGAGAAAGGACATGTGCTAGTACATCTCTTCTGTAGTATTAACAGTTTGAACATCGATTTCCATTTTCAGAGGAAATGGATCGCATACTCAGTTACTCACGTTATCTCCAGAGCATACAATTTTTTTTCCTGAATGACAGCATACGTTAGACAGAGTTTTCAAAGGCTGCAATATTTACATCAGCAACAAAATATACAAAACACTCTTTGGACATGCTAAATTTGAGAAACAACCCCACATCCCTCATTACACATCCCACATCATCTTAATTCTTCTGCCCATCCTTGGTATTAAACTGTATTACTGAACATATTTCACATCTAAGTGTGTCAGTATACTAAATACAGACTTGTAAATGTAAATGCATTAATACAGCCATGCGTGTATAGACATGTGCATCTAAGGCTGAGCATATGCAGTTTTTTTAAGTTGTATTTGTGACCATAGTCAGCATACATTCAAATTTTTTTGGCAGCCAGCATAAGTATCAAAGATTAATTTTAATAATTTTAAAATTTGTTTAATTTTAGTTTTTACATAAGACACTGCCTTTCATACTAATAAGATTAATTTGCATAAAAAGAATCGCTATGATAAAATGCAAATTGCTACAAGCATTGGCCAATTTATCCTCGGGTACTTTATTCTATGAACTGTAATTGGTCTGAAGCACAGATTACAGAGCTACTTGTCATGCAACCAGTTATGCAGTTTAAGAAGCACGAGAATTGGAATAATCAGGAATGAGGTTTTAAAACCCTTAGAGGACAAGAATTTCGTATTTAGTTACCTTAATGAAAAAAGATGGGAAGAACTGTTTTGTATTTTATAGAAAAAGAAAGCAATACAACCACTTAAAATACTATTATACATGTCAATGGTGGTAGAGAGATAAACTCTTTCAACCCATCTGCAATCCTAACGTGTCTTAAATTAAAAAAAAAAAAAAAGTAGAAAATAGAAATTACTTCTTACCATCTACACTGGCATCATCCACCAAAATAATCTCCTTTAGCAGTACTGCAGGAGACGTATACATCACACTGTGAACAGTTCTGAGCAGAGTGGACCATGCTTCATTATGAAAAACTATTATAATACTTGTGGTTGGCAACGGCGGGCAACGCTTAAACTTTTGTTCAATACATCTACAGATCAGAGAGCATCAAATGTTACAAAATGGACAAAAAGTTTGGAGTCAAACTCTGAGTTTTGGAGCACAGAAGCAGGTGCTCCAAATGGAGAAGCTGTACAAATATTTTTCAAAAACGTGATAAATAAGAATGCCACTTAACAACTGACTCACAACTGACTCGGTTCTGCTTCTGTTTTAAAAACGTTTGAGAACTTTTCATATAGCACCCAGACCTTCTTCAGAAAATAATACTATTTTATTGAGATCAGGAGGTACTGAACTGCAAAAATCAGACTTTAAGTCACATTTACCTTTGAAAACCTAAAGTACAAAGATTACTATTTGCTAGGAGAATGCAGAGCTTGCAAGAAAAAAATAGATCTAATTCAGAACTTCAAAATTTTGTAGAAATACCAAAAAATCCTTAGGGCAGCATATCCCATTCAAGAAAAGCAATTTTAAATGCACAGTTTTTCCCATGACTGACATATTCTGAACCTACTTAAATCCAGTTGCAAGTCAAGATGACAATACTTCTGTATTCATAAGCTGTACACTTACTGTTTATTGCCTGTCAGCTTTAGAGACTGCATGACTCCCCAAGGTAAGTATCACAGCCATTGTCTCAGAAAATACACAGGCAGAAACTCGCCAGTTAGGCTCTAGCAAAGGTTCTTGTGAGCTGCATCACATGTAACGATATTCATACTGCCAGAAGCATCGTTGTAAGATTAGTCACTTCTGACACAGATGAGAACATATATAATCTGACACTGACATAGGCACCTCATAACCAAATCCCACTCTACCAAGTCCTAGAGACTTCATTAATACAAGATGGCTCAAATGTTTCATAGTCTTGTTCAACAACTTACATTTCCTAATTTGTTAAATTATGCTGGTGGTTTTACTAAAACACTGAATGCTTAAAAAAGTAGGGCAGGAAATAGCATTTAACTTGGAAAAAAAAAGCTTAAAATACATTTTTAGTTTTCTTCTAAGTAAAATCAATCTGGCTTCCAGAAAGTCACTAAGAAATTGTAGCTTAAAGGGAAAAAGTCTGAAAACTTCATTTAAATATGCTTAATTGGAATTCAAAACCATGAGAGAAGTGAGCCTTTCTAAACATTCTTGGCTTTGGCACTGTGGATCATTATGTACAGCCAATCATTATGCATAGCTAGGAAACTTTCCTAAACTATCACCTAATGCTGAACTCAAATCACTTTGCAATTTGCAATCTGTATTTCTGAGAAGTTTTTTCAACTAACAGAACATACGCATTTCAACATACTCAGGAGGTCGAGTGTCTGGTCCAAGATCTCGGTGTAAAGAAATCCTATCACTTGCAAATGCATTAAAACAGTGTTTTTCTTCTCCACGCTGTTTTTCTTTCTGTTCTTCTGAATTTAAGTTGATGGTTTTAAATGCTTTACCAGAAGCTCCAGGTGCATTAGGATCTTGAAGGGGTCGATCTAGAAAGGGTTTTAGTTCCACTGCAGTATAGTATCCTGGCAAACAGTGTCTCTCTCCAGGAATCTTAGTTTGCCTAACAGGTGCTTTTATTTGCATTTTTGGCTTTGCACCTTTGATATTGTTCATAGCATTTAACACAAGACCTAACACATGACTTTTCTTTCCAACAACTGGCTCAATCCCTGCTTCATCTTTAAAATCTTCAACACCCACTTCTTTTTGTAATAAAAATAAAAATACCAGAAAGACAAACACAATGATGCTAAACTTCCAAAGTTTCCAGTGAAGAAAAAATTTCTTGAATAGTTTAGGTGTTTTTTTCAAAGCCATTCTAGTTTTAAAAAATTATCACAAGAAAAAAGTTCCTGTGAATGATGTTCTTCAAGCAAGTCACAGCATTTCTTGAAATAACACCTGTAAATTAAAACAAAAATAGCAATTTAGACATCTAGTGTATTCAACAGTGTAAAAAACCAAGAAATTAATGGGTAGGAACTAACTCACTATTCCCAACTGTCAATCATTATGTGTCCATCACTTAAAGATACTTCAAACCTATCTCTAAGATAACCCAAATGCACTTTCCATGGTTTTTATTCTGTTTTGGTTTTCTAAATAGAAGAACTAGAAAGCAGGAATACCACTGAGAATGAACCACTATTTCTACACAATGCCATTACATGTTCATTTTCTGCCAAATCTTGAAAATTTAGTTGCTTAAAATTTGAGAAAAGTGTTTAAGTCTCCTAAAAGCAGGGAAATTTAGTTCCATGTTAGTATAGATGGAAAACAAATGGAATCAATAAAATAAGTTAAAGTTGCATGTGAGAAAGAGCCACATAAAAAGTGAAGTATAAAGACAGGAAGGACTTCTCAATCAACTTACTTCAACATTAGGAAATTTCCAATATTAAAAAAAAAGCCAACATTTTAATATCAGACTTAAGTAACTGGACTTCAAGTGGTAAATGTTTAGATTAATTTACTTATCTAGTATACATACTCAATGCAGACTTCATACATGTAATTTGGAGTACATTTATCTAGTCTGAGGATCCACTAATCATTCTGTACTTTTTTTTTCATTCACTTATACCACGTTTTCTGGCATGTGCTGCTGCAACTCATCAAGAGAACATGTCAAAGAGCTCCTCTCTCAGGAGCTCTGCCACTATTTTTTTTCACAGACGAGCAATTATTCCGCAGCTTTCAAAGATGGGGAAGTATGGAAAACATTTGTAGACTACCAGAATCTATGTGATTTTAATTAATTTCTCACTGCAAAACTGGCAGTTTACAAGGAGAAAAACAGCAAGCAGCCTTAATTCAAAGCACAGCTTTATTTTTCTGTAAGTTCCATATATGTGAACTAAGAAATAAGCAGCATCTAGATAAAAGCCACAGTTGGTTCCCACTCGCTTACTACTGACCACAGAATTGCGAAAACCGCTTTTCTATTTCAACCTTTGAAATACAAATAGGTTCTGCACTTCTTCATTGGAATAACATATACTCAGGAAGAGATAAAACTTATAGAAAATAAAAAAAGCTCACCCGTTTTCCTTCAAGAATTTCCAGGATAAGTTAAGCATCCAGACTTGAGCACATTACAGATTATATCAAAGCTTATGTCAGTTTTTTTTAATGAACCCATACATTCAAACCACAGTGGATTTATCATAGAGCTATTATTATAAAAATGCAGACAGGAAGGTCATTACATCACTACCATATAGATTCTAAAATGTACAAAAACATGCTTCACGAAGTTTCCAAGAAAACACATTACAAGGCCCGCTTCTGTCTCACACCTTATTTTCCCATTTTTCTTCAGTGCTGAAAATCTGTACTACGGTTCTGAAACCTATACACTGCAAGACTAAGAATAAAATCTTTCCTTCCTGGTGAAAGGACTGTGATCCATTTACCAAACCGACAGGTTAAAAAATGCCTTGTTTTCTCACAGTGTGTGGGGAGTTGGTCTTGGCTGGCTGCCAGACACTCACCCAGCCATTCTCTCATTCCACCTCCTCAACAGGACAGTGGGGAGAAAATAAGATGGAAAAGCACACTGGTTGAGGTCAGGACAGTGTGATCACTTACCAATTACTGTCATGGGGAAAACAGACCCAAGGATGACAAATTTAATTTATTGCCAATTTAAAATAGAGTATTATGGTGAAAAACAAAGACAAAAATAACATCACCTGCCCAAGCACAACTTCATTACTTCATTCCCAACTCTTCTGTCTCCTTTTTCTCAAATGTTGTACACAGTATGGAAAATGAGGCCTGTGGTCAGCTCATAACACTTCATCTCTACCACTCCTTCCTCTTCACACTTTTTCCCTGCTCCAACACAGGTCCTCTTCATGAAGTGCAGTACTTCAGCAAAAACTGCTCCAATATGGGACATCCACAGGTTTCTGCCAGGATCTTGCTCCTGCATGGGCTCTCCATGGACTGCAGATTCCTTCAGGGCATATCTACCTGCTCCAGCATGGGGCCCTGCATAGGCTGCGGAGAAATACCTTCTACACTGTGGTCTTCTCTATAGGCTGCAGAAGGACAACCTGCCTCAGCATAGTCTTCTCCATGGGCTACAGGGGAGTATCTGCCCCAGTGCCTGGAATATCTCCTCCCCTCCTTCACTGACGCTAGTGTCTCTGCAGGTTTCTTCCTCTCACATTTTTCTCCTTCCTCTCCCACAGCTGCTGTGCAGCATTTTTTACGCTTTCTTAAATACCTTATCACAAAGGCATCACTTGCCACACTGGGTGGCTCAGCTTTGGCCAGCAGTGGGTCCATTTTAGAGCCGACTGGAAACAGCTGCGTCCAGCACAATGGCAGCCCCTGGTCTTTTCCTCAGAGAGGCCACCCCTGCAGTCACCCCATACCTCCCAACCTTGCGACATAAATGCAATACACAGTGTAAAACACTGAGCATATATACAGATCAACACACAACAAGAATACTGTAACTTGTAAAACTACATTGCTAACTGCAAGGGCGCTGCCTGAGCCTACAACCTCTGCAACCAGTGTCAACTATGAATGTTTTCGTAACATCTGAGAAAAATAAAATCATATTACCATTTCTCAGAGCACCACATATGATGCAGTGCTTGTGAATCTAAAAGCTTAGATTATGAATATAAGCTTATATAATGAATATAACATCATCAAATTGGGAAAAAAGAAAAAAGAGAAAAAAAACCCATGTTTTTTATATTTTAAGTACTTAATGTTACAAGAGAAGTCTGACAACTTTTTCTCACAAGTAGTCATTTGGCATAGTCAACCAAGCTAACACCTGTGGGGGCAGGGTGGGGTGTGTGTGCACTAGCATTGGCTGGCTGGTTGGTTTGTTTCCAAACGTTGTTGCCCTCAAATTTCTTTTGTATCACTAAACATGCAACAGTGTTCTCCAACTTCCTCTAGGCCTCCTCGCCTCCTCCTCTGGTGAGAGATTAGGTTCGGTACCAACAGAAATGTCAGTCTTAAATGAACATACTGCTTTAAGATACGTCAAGAGAAGAGAGGTTAATTCTATGTAGCAACAGGGATTGTTTTACACTGAAGTTATACTTAAATCAGTATTTGAGTTAAATACTTATGACCGTCTCCTTTTGTTTTAATGAGACTAATCAAAAGGTAGAAAAATTAAATTGTATGGCTAACATATCTGTTATCTGCCTTAGTACCAGAGAAATCCTCTAAGTAATTAAACAATTACTTTGTAGATTTAAAGTTGCAGTTGTTAGATTTCCATTGTACATTTCCACATTTCAATTAATGCAGCCACATTTACTTATGCTACTCTCACCGTGTCATTCTAGTTTTATGTTTACTACATGAAATCTGGCTTAATTGTCTCCAGTGACAAAAATCAAAAATGGACTAGAAAATACCAAAGATTTCTTCCATAGATTTTTAGCACATACTTCAGATTTCTGCTGCTGCTGGCTTTGATGCTAACACATAGAATCATAGAATAGTTAGGGTTGGAAAGGACCTCAAGATCCTCCAGTTCAAATCCCCCCGCCATGGACAGGGCCATCTCACACCAAACCGTGTCACCCAAGGCTCTCTCCAACCTGGCCTTGAACACTGCCAGGGATGGAGCATTCACAGCCTCCCTGGGCAACCCATTCCAGTGCCTCACTAGCCTAGCAGTAAAAAACTTCCTCCTTATATCCAGTCTAAACTTCCCCTCTTTAAGTTTTAACCCGTTACCCCTTGTCCTATCACTACAGTCCCTAATGAAGAGTCCCTCCCCCCAGCATCCTTATAGGCCCCCTTCAGACACTGGAAGGCTGCTATGAGGTCTCCACGCAGCCTTCTCCATTCTGAATAGCCCCAACTTTCTCAGCCTGTCTTCAGCCGGGAGGTGCTCCAGTCCCCTCATCATCCTTGTGGCCCTCCTCTGGCCTTGTTCCAACAGTTCCATGCCCTTTTTATGTTGAGGACACCAGAACTGCACACAATACTCCAAGTGGGGTCTCACAAGAGCAGAGTAGAGGGGCAGGATCACCTCCTTTGACCTGCTGGTCACGATCCATTGGATGCAGCACAGGATACAGTTGGCTTCTGGGCTGTGAGGGCACACTGAATGAAGCCCGCTCATGTTCATTTTCTCATCGACCAGCACCCTCAAGTCCTTCTCTTCAGGGCTGCTCTGAATCTCTTCTCTGCCCAATCTGTAGCTGTGCCTGGGATTGCTCCGACCCAGGTGTAGGACCTTGCAATTGGCATGGTTAAACTTCATAATGTTGGCATCAACCCACCTCACAGGCATGTCAAGGTCCCTCTGGATGGCATTCCTTCCCTCCAGTGTATCAACCGAACCACACAGCTTGGTGTTACAGGGAAAATTGCTGGGGGCGCACTCAATCCCACTGTCCATGTCAGCGACAAAGATGTTGAACAAGACCGGTCCCAACACCGATCCCTGAGGGACACCATTCATTACTGGTCTCCAGCCAGACATTGAGCCATTGACTACAACTCTTCACGTACGACCATCCAGCCAGTTCTTCATCCACTATTCTTTACAAAGCACCAAAAGCACATACATACATTTTACAAAAAAAAAAAAAAAATGAAAGGGAATTACTGTTGTTTTTATTTGAGATTATTTCCTGCACAAATTGAGCATGTATAATGTCTTAGGACACTCATGATAAACACAATAGCCAAGATAAGTGCAAATCAAAATAACCAAAATCATAAAAAAAAGTCCAGATTATTTCTTGTGTTTTGTATACACATCTGTGTCTTCAGAAAAGACAGTCACTAAAGACTATGAGCAGACCTAATGAGCAATCAAGAACACAGAGCAGGTTTTTTAGCATTTGTTTTCCTATGCAACTATATTCACTTTAATCTGCATATATTTTGACTTCTTTTTGACAAAATGTTTCCTTCTGTTAGAGAAATCTGTCTCAGCTGCTCAGGTCTAACTACATACAGCAGGCTGCCATAACACACAAGTGAAATGTGTCTGTCCCTAGAAATGAAAAGACAACTCACCTGAGCAAGGTGGTTGTGCAAGAGAGCATCACATCTTAACCCTTTCAGTGTGGATTAGTATACTCTAGTACCATATGTGGCAGCACATTCACAGAAACAAGTGTAAGTTATGTTTCTTTTTTAAAGAAAAGATCAAACACAGGCCCATTTGCCATAAACATACAGCAAGATCTTTGATGTACACAAATGCTGAGTGTGGTTTTATTCAAAAAGTATCTGATATGGACATTGCTTACAATAAGAGCTACTCCCTGCACAAAGTAGTAGCAGTTTCCAGAACACACGTTACGCTGTCCCAAGAACTTTTGCCATGAAAGCTGTATCTTCCCAAGGGTTTTTACCAGGATAATTTGTTAGTGAGAAATACAATCTTCATATTCCATAAATGCTTCACACATTTTTAGGGCATGGCTATGTCAGCAAGCACCGACCAAGCTACTGTTCCATCCTCCAGGACATGCTGAAGAAATACGTGGCATGATTAAACTCCCTGAGGTGACTGTTCACCAGAATGTTTAATCTTATATTCATTAGTGTTATTTTCACTAATAGTAGTCTGTATTCTTACAGCACTTGGAAATACTTAGCCCTAAACATCAGAAGTGCGATTTTAAGGATTTTTATTTTTTTAAAGAAGAAAATAACCAGAAAACTAGTATGTACTACAGAAATATTCCAAAAGTGCTAAAAAGCAGCTGCCACAGTTCTTCAAACCACATCACACGGGTAGTGTGTGGATTCAATACAGTCTATGTTACATTATGCCACCCACTAACTCTGATGTCAGCCTGTCTGCAAAAACTCTGTCTTACAAGAAAGCCTTACTGCAGTGGCCAGCATGTAGCCAACTCTGACTTTTTGTTCGCTTGGTCTGAGCAAGACTGTAGACAATCATTATTTCTTTTTTAAATTAAAATGTCAGTATAACCCAAAAGAGCAGACGTTCTTTCAGACCATGCCAGTGAGGAGAAATTTACTGGGGTTAGCATCAATATACTTGACCTCTTTTTTTTTTTTTTTTTTTGGTAAAACTGTTTTAAAAATCTACTTTTATCTTAATGTTACATAGAGTTCTAATGTTTCCA